TAGAAGTACGCATTTGGGCTGTGCTAGCCCAATCTCGGTCTTCTCTTCCCGAACCTAGCCTCACCAAGGTTCACCTGAGCTCGGCCGACCAGCAGATTCACACAGCCGATGTATTCCGTCTTTCACGGCTGCTATAATGGTTTGTGTTTGGTCTTAAAAGTTCTGATGAGGGTTTGACGTCGGTGATGATTGGTTCGATGGGTCGGATTTCTTCATTGCCGCATATACAAAACTCACTCACCGTTTGTTATGGTTTTAGATGCGGAAGGGATGGCATACTCAATGGTCAGGTGATCTATTTGTTGATTGTAGATTAAATGTACGTGAGAGTCTTTGCGATTTCTTCGGTTGCCCCATTGGCAGATTAGGAACAATGCCATTGAGGTGGTCGAATCATTCCCCAAGAACACATATTTTCCCATTCTGTTTGTTTAGATTCTATAGGTTGCAATGGGCTTCCAGAATTTCATCGATCTCAAAATCTCAAGGGCAATTGGGAGGAGCCACCTCTGTTTGGTTTGTTAAGGTTGTATGCACCTTATACGTTCGACGTAAATCGTCAATGGAAGAAGTTCGCATTTTGGATTATCTTCGCAAGAATTTAAATTCTTTGACTGCTTTTAGTGTTATTGAGCATATGAATAGTAATTGGAATAACCCGAAATTGGCTTTTAGTTTTCTAGAGTATACCAAGAATACGTTGAATCTTGTTCATTTGATTGAAACATATAGTTTTCTTTTAAGGTCATTTAGTCAAGTKGGTGWTCATGATTTRGCCAAACTGCTAATTGATTTGATGAGGATTRATGGGGTATCGCCAGATARTTCGCTTTTRGGCTTTGTRATAAAGTCATTTGTGAATGCTGGTAAGTTTGAGGTTGCCAAAGAGTTGATTGTTGATAGTTCTCGATCTAGTGTCGAAAAGGATGGGGTGCTCAGTTGTATTGTGGTTAACAAAATTTTGAGTTCATTGGTGAAGAGTAATCGGGTGGATGAGGCGGTTGCTTTTTTTGAAAACATTATTTTAAGATCGCAATGCTATTCTCATAATGCTTATACTTTTAATATAGTCATCTCTGGTCTGTGCAGGGCTAGGGAGGTTGACAAGGCATTTGGGTTTTTCAATCACATGAGGAAGTTTGGTTGTTTGCCTGATGTGGTTACCTATAATACTCTTTTGAATGGATTTTGTCGTGCTGGCAATGTTAATAAAGCACATGACTTGTTGAGAGAAACTTCAATGGTAGAYGGRTGTTCACCGAATGTTGTGACTTTTACTTCAGTTATATCCGGGTATTGCAAACTAGGTAAGATGGAAGAGGCTATGGTCCTATTTAGTGATATGATAAGTCATGGAATCARACCTAGCACTTTTACCTTTAATGTCATAATTGATGGTTTTGGYAAGATTGGCAATATGGTTTCTGTACTAAATATGTACGAGAAGATGGTTGATCATGGTTGTACCCCTGATGTCATCACCTTCACATCTATCATTGATGGCCATTGTCGCCTAGGAGAAGTGCACCAAGGTTTAAAGATCTGGGATGAGATGAATAGAAKAAATTTATATCCCAACATATACACCTTTTCCATTCTCATCAATACTTTGTGTAAAGAAAATAGATTAAATGAGGCACGTGATCTCTTAAGACAATTGAAGAAGAGGAGCGATATTATTCCTAAAGCATTTGTTTACAACCCTGTAATTGATGGTTTCTGCAAAGCAGGCAACGTGGATGAGGCTAATGTGATTGTTAAGGAAATGGAGGAGAAAAGGTGCTACCCTGATAAGTTAACATTTACCATTTTGATTATTGGGCATTGTATGAAAGGGCGAATGATTGAAGCAATAAGCCTTTTCCAGAAGATGATAGTAGTTGGCTGTGCCCCTGATTCGATTACTGTAAATTCATTGGTATCACGTCTTCTAAAGGCTGGGATGCTGAAAGAAGCTTTTGAAATAAGGAAAGCTGCATCGGGCAAGCCCGTCACAAAGAGAGATACTTCATATAATAAAAATGCAGATATCCATGTGGCTGTTTAACTGATGTGGCTTTTTGATGTTGCATTTGGACAAGCAGTTCCTTGAGGTCATCAATGCATGCAAAAGAGCTCAATGCTTGGCATTATCAGGTGTGCACATCATAAGCATACATTAATCTTTGGCATATATTTGGTTGTACCCTGTCGTGTTGTGTTTAATAACAACTGTTATTTCACACAACTTTGATGCTTGAAAGCGATTGTCACGGGTTAAATCTAGTTAGAGGTTAGAAGTCCATAATATTATAAAATGCAACAAGTTGATACATTGATAGAAAAAACAATGAGCTGATAAGTTGTTATGCTGATATGTTATACTTCCAAATTACAAATCTTGTGTGTAGGGCGAATGGCCTCATGCATCTGCAATGTTGAAACACTTGTTCTCAATTGGCCATTAGTGGGAAGCATAGCCAGGAAGGAGTTAATATACAAATTTCCTACTTTAGGATGTCTTAGGTCATCAAAAACTAATCAATGGCGATTTTGGTGCAGGAGCATATGATTAACATCGAAAATTGGGATTCTGGTGTAGCGGTATGCAACACACCATTACATATTAAATATCTATTGATGTACTTTATATAGGTAATTGAATATCCAACATGTGAAAGAGGGAAGGTTGCGGTTGTAGAAATGAGGATGCTTAGATCGACCTGTGGCCGGAGCAGGTTTGACAGGATACTGCATGATGTCTTTCGGGCGGGGTTGGGAGTTGCACATATCACAAATAAGTTGAGAGGGAAGATTCCGGTGGTTTGTGTCACTTTTGCAGGAGACAAATGGTGGTATGACTGTCGAGAGGGCGAGGAGGACATGGGATGGGCAACTAAGGTTGGACATGACAACAACTTTAGGCCTTTTGGAGGACATGACTCCTCATAGGAGTTATAGGAGACGTAGGATTAGGGTAGCAAATTGGGGTGGGGTAGCTTAAATAGATGGGAGCTGGGGAGGTAGGAGGGGGGGGGGGAGGGGTAGTGAGCCGGTAGATAAGTTACTAGAGCTCCAAGTTGGACTAGGGGTGTTTGGTTTTTCTTACCTTGCGTCTTTCTTGTACCTGCTTCTGCTTGTATGTGGCTCCTCGCTCCTAACTTGCTTTTCTTGTCTCAAGTTTGCTGCAAAGTCTATCTTTTTTCACAACCACAGGGGTCTCCATGGAAACAACCGGTTTCTTGTCTCAAGTTTGTGGCCTGCTTCTTTTTCCCTCCATATATAAGTGCACTTAAACTTTCCCACTACACTCCTACATGGTGCAGTTTCTGATAATTGGAACCATTTTAACCCCGAATAAACATAAACTACATGAGTATCTCCACCTTGCAACACAACTTTGCAGCGCAATCACGACCATTGTCCAACAGTTTTGATGGCACACATCTGGTTCATACACACAGAAGGATACACCTGTCGTATTCAAACCATTCGCTTTTTAGATTTGAACTAGACCATGATATGTACTCCCACAGAGTTTCTAATTTATTTTGAAGCACACCTACTCATAGATCAGATGCATTAGGATTTATAAATTATTGTTTAGGAATATGTATATGGTCAAGCTTGCAACATGCAAACATATTCAGTCTTTTCTCTTTGGATATAACTTTTATGGAAGGCTTAAACATTTAATGTATAAGAGCTAAGATTTTGATAACCAAACGCTATTCACCATTAAAATAAAACTGGAAACAGTACTGATGTACGCCACTGTGAACAATTTTGTGCTACTACTATGGACAAGCTTGTGCTGTGCTTCCGGTGTCATTCATTTATGGTAAGAATGATTTGATGCGTTTCTGATGTATTCTTTTGATGTCATTTATTTGATGGGTAGTTTGTTAGACTGATTGTTTGAGTGCATGTCTCATTATCAACATGTTATGATTGACAATCACTTCCCTTCTGACGACATGTTTCCAGAGTTGCACATGACCTCCCATCTTGTAAAATTTTCTTTCTTTGAGCCCTCCTTTTACGTGGATATTACTTTTTATCTAGAAGTAAAAGGCGTTTGACGTGTTGTGAAGTGTCATTATTTGATTCTTGAAAGTTAAGATGTATCCCATTTGTCATATTGCTAAACTTTAGAAGGGTTTCTGTCATTTCTCAAGTTCAGGGAGTTCTCTGTAGGAACTTCTTTCAGGAGGTTTTTTGAATTGTCTAATTTGCTTGATTTTCTTATCACCATCTCTGATTTTTTTAGTTTCTTTTGCTATCATTCTCTTTGGGAAAGTAGACTTAAATTAGAATGAAGTCTGCATTAGGTCCCTCAAAGCATGTGTTTGCCACATTCAATGATAGTTCCATAGAGTTTCTATTTTTTGTTCTCTTTAGTAAAGGATACTTAAATGGCTATCACTCCTATGCTTCTACTCTTCGGAGATACTTTCATTACATTCAATGATAGTTTCATATATATATATATATAGGGCAAATTGCATGAAAAAGTAACGAATTTAACTTGATTCCTATTTTGGATGACGTACTTTCAAAATTTCCATTTGGTACCTAAGATATAAAGTTTTAAACATTTAAGTATCTGGGTAATCGGTTGAAGCATTAATTGGTTACCATGTTTATGTGGTGAGTGATATGGTATCCGGTTGATGTTTCAGCAAATAATACTGAATTGATACAACATCACTCGCCACATCAGCATGGTAACCGGTTAATGCTTCAACCGGTTACCCGGGTAATTAAATGTTTAAAACTTTAATCTTAGGTACCAAACTGGAAGTTCTGAAAGTACGTTACCCAAAATAGGAATAAAGTTAAAGTATGTTACTTTTTCATACAATTTTCCCATATATATATATGTATGTATGTATGTATGTAGAGGAGCGATCAAATGCAAACTACCCAATTTGTGCAAACCACCCCCATCCATCGATTTCATTGTTTAATCTTATGAAATTTTTTCATGAAATTGTTTAATCTTGTGAAATTGTTTCATATAATACTTTTTTTTGATGAAGTTGTTTCATATATGATTATGAAATTGTTTCATATACTTAATGAAACTGTTTCATGTATTTCTCTAAAATTAAAATAATGAAGAAGATAATATCTATGATTAACACCCTCCACATTGAAAATGATTAATCAACCTCTCATAATTACAAAAAAATGAACAAAATGAAAAATTATGATTGGTTGAATGAGGTTTGTACAAATAACGTGGTTTGCAAAGTAAACTTCCTCTCTCTCTCTATATATATATGTGTGTGTGTATATATGTATGTATATATCAAGATTTAAGTTGAGAACTCTAAGANTATATATATATATATATATACATTTCAGTTGACCCCCATTTTTGCATATCAACATGGGTGCCTGGTGCGTTTAGGATGCCGATAACTGGTAAACTGCAATATAACAAACCTGCTCTTAATAATTAATCATCATAGACGGGTTTATTAAATGGTCCAAGAGGAAAAGACCCTAATTTCAAGTGGGATATACGGGGTACTTTTGGCTTGGTTTAGTTTACCTACGACTGAAGCCATCAACAAGTGTATGGATTTCGTCAATAGATCAATCAATCTCCTAAAAATGGACATCTTCATACTAGTTCATGATTGGTTATGTCACAAATAATGAAGCATTTCTTATTTAATGTCTGAGAATTCCGTTGCTCCTCAGTTTTAACCTCTGACTTTCTGTAACAGGTCAAGTCCACCTTTCCGAGTCCCTGCTAATCTGAGTCTCAGCAATGTGGGTGGGCAGATATCATGATATTTCTTTTATCCGAAGACTTGATGCTGGATGCGAATGACTATGCGGGCTAACAGATTATTTTTTGAAACGAGTCATTCCCTAATAGCCTGTTCGAGTCTCCTCAGAGACACTGGATTTTCCTGGCTGTTATCTTCAGCACCCTATATGATTTAGTCGAGGTGCGCGTAAGTGGGCCCGGACACCCACTGTTACAAAAAAAAATGGTCGTATTTTTAGCAGGTGCCATATATATAACCTCGTTCTATTTTTAAACGTGTGCATGCCATCAGAACTTTGTTGACCCCCAGATCAGCTAAAGGCCATTTCTAACCCTTGAGGGTAAGCTCAACTGGTCACACTTTGAGTTTGCTGACCATTGATCACCAATTCGAGTCTCCTCAGTGCCAATAAAGGTTTTCCCGACTTTTCCAATTGTCAACTTCAGGACCTTATGGGATTAGTCGAGGTACATTCAAGCTGGCTCAAACACACATAGTTATTAAAAAAATTCCCAACATATGTGCTGAAATTCACAAGTCTTGTAAAATTGCAGGTGATATATGGGTTTAATTCGAAGTTTCAACTTGTTGGGCACAAACACGGTGGGATACCATGTCTCCTATCCTTTCGAGCAAATAAGGCTGACAGATATGTTCGTTCTTTCCCGCTCTATATTCTTTGTTTCCTGAAAGGGTAATTCACTATCAACTTTCTTGTATCTATGCACCGTATTTCAGTCGATAAATTTGGGAAAAGAAAAACGAAGAATATGTATGTAAATTTGACGATATACCCCATACATGTATATACATTTATATGCAATATAACTGGTTCTGGTAACCAGTTCTTTTCGGAACGTGTTTTATTTCTTAAACCGGTATAAACGTAGGCGGTTTTATTCGCAATTTCAGAAGTCAGTTTGGTTCCTTTTATTTGGGTTTGTTATGTTTTGAAAATGGAATGTTTTCTTTCTTCATGTTATTATTAATTTATTACTATATCATGATACTTAATGTTAGGGCTTGTCTGTTAGCAGCTTAATGAGTTTAATAGGACTCATAGCTTATTCAGTCAACTATACATGACTGTTTGGTAGTGGTTTAATGATATAGAAAGTGGTTTATTCAGTAAGTTTCTAGGGGGAGTTTTATGCAAAAAGCCAAGTTTTTTCCCGAACCTGCCCTTCCCAATTAAAAGACATGCTCATTTCATTTACGGAAAAATCCTCCCAAACAAAAATCTTCCTAATCTATTAGGACATATTGATCTATTTAGGACTTAATGAAAAACCAACCAAAACATTCTTTGTATTGCAGGTGAAGATGGGGGCATTCTAAACTGCGGTAGGGATAGAGAATTGGAATTATAATTCAGGAATGGTAAATATGGTTCTTGGAGTTAGAATATTTATTTAACCATTTCTAAGTCGTAAATGATCCCTATCGACAAACACAGGTGATCCCTTCGTTCTTACCGGGTAAGATTCTTGGTCCTTACCATATTCATTGGTTAACGTAGTATATTTTAGTAAGCGTTTATCAAAGTAAGCGTTTGATAAACGACCTAGTAATATACCGTAAATCCATGTACCGCGAATTATCGGAACTAATGAAGTCCATGCCAAAAAATGGCCCAACTGATCCCCTTGGACATGAGTTAGGATCATGGATACAAAATATAAGGGTCTGTTTGGCTAATGCTGAAGAATGAAAATGGGAATAATAAGGAATGAAAATGGGAATGAATTTTCATTCCCCTTTAACCAGGAATAAAATTGAGCTTCTAGAGGAATGAACCCATTATATTATAGAACGCCAAACAACTTCTTTTATTTTTATATCCGTTGATTATTGCGTAATACCTCCAACGCCTCCTAAGTATTTACATTATGTTTAAAAAATATAACATTTTTTTGTGGGAAAATATTTTCTTTGATTAAACTATAAACATGAATCATGTAACTTAAGCAGCTTGCAATATAAGACTTGGGATTATGTGAGACCAATGGTTTTTTGTGAGACCCTTAAGATCAATTTTCAACCTTTGGATTAGATCTACAATCTGACAATATGAACATTCATAAACATCACGAGATTTCTCAATAATTACAAAATTTTCACTGTGCAACTTTAAACCATTAGATCATTAGCTTATAAAGTTGATCAATGAACATAAATTGATCTTACGGTTCTTATAAAAAACTTTTGGTCTCACATGAATCCAACCCTACAATATAAATTATAAATACCATGAAAATAAAATGGTTGATATTTTAAACCCAAAGTGTAAGCAAAATCACAAAAATAAAAAAGTAAAATTATAGCCAAGATACATATATTTGGTAAACCTTAAGATAATTTTTTTAAAATAAAGAATCTAAACATAAATTTTTTAAAAATATTACATTCATCAATTAGATTTTTTATTTTAAAGATTTTAATATAAATTATATATTATTATAATATCTTTTAATTTATCGTGCCAATATATATATTCATGCTATCTTATAGATCAGATTTATCAATAGTCTTAAAAACAATTTTTAATGTACAAAGTATTATACATTTATGTACAAATTTTTAAAAACAACTCATAATGCATTAAGTACTATTATTTTATGCATTCAGTCTTAAAATCTTTTAATCTACAATTAAAATAACATATAGTACAAGTTACCAATGCACATTATTACTTTTTTCTTTTCATGTTCCTAAGATACTTTTGACACATTTCACTCATGTCTTCACCCTCTTATACATATATGCCTTCTTCCCATCCCCTAAGATGAGATTCAAATTGATATTCACCATGAGTTATTAAAAGTTCTCTCATTCATCTCTTATTCAATTGCTCTAGAACTCTCGGTCTCACTCTCGATCTCTTTATTCTTTGCTCTTGGTGTAAATCGAACACATTTGTGGAGTCGTTTAAATATGTTGGATTTTACTCTCATTCAATTTTTTCAATCGATAGATTGTAATTGGAACCATAACTCTTATTTATTCGAATTGTATTAATATGTAACGATCAAGTGTAACTTATATCATTGTTAAATCTTTTCTAATAAAACCAGTGAAACTTCAAAATCGTTAAAATTCACGGCTCCCGCCTCATTACACGGATACACAACTAGTATTTTTTTTAAAAAGAACTTTTTATAAAAAAAAAAACAATAATAACTCAATCCGATATGTGGAATTGAATAACATAATCATATCTTTTCTAACATCAAATTTTAGAGAATTCTCTGTACTTAGAGTTTTCTCCATGATTCTCTATTTTAGTAACAAGATAGCAACGTTGTTGGAGCATTTTAGAAAACAAAAACTCACTTTTTTTACAGAAGTTGTTGGAGATGCTCTAAGACCATCTCCAACCTAACACTAAAAACACAAAAATCAAATCACAAAACTATATCTTATTTTATTTGCTCTTATTTTATTTAGAGCAAATAAAATAAGAAATAGTTGTATAATTTGATTTGCTTATATTAAAAATTAATTATGTCAAAGACGATTTAATTTTATTATTCTTTTTCTATCACTACATTAAACAAGCTTATTATCGATATTTTAAAACCAAAATCATTAAAAACCAGTAAGAATGAACTCCTATTTTATCATCCTAAAATTAGAGTTTCCAATTTTCATACTGTTTTTCACTCAAAAACTCAAAATCAACTGTTTAGATTTTAAACAAAAATATTAATACATACTATCATCTTTGCTACTTAAAATTGAACAAATCCTAATAAACTTCTACCAGATTTTCATACCCAAATAAGTAAAAATACTAAAACAATAAAATAAAATCGTATTTAATATAATTAATTTTTCAGTTTAAACAAATCAAATCATAAAGTAATATCTTGTTTTTTTATATAGAAAATAAACAAAAAGACTAAAACAACCCTTTCATTTAACGATAGTCAGAAAGACGGTGGCAAAAAAAAAAAAAAAAAATTAAATACCATAAGGACTAAGGGGGTGTTTGGGATTGCTTATAAAAAACAAGTTATTGATTTATTTCGCTGTGACACCAGTATTAAGCACTTTTGAGTGTTTGGATAAATAATTCATATTGGTGCCCGATAATAAGAAGTTTTTGAAGAAGTTAAACCATTTTGACTTATAATGTTGATAAGTGCTTTTATAGAAAAACATAAGCAATAAACAATTCCAAATACCCCTAAATCCAAAATAAATATTTTATGGAGATAAAGAAAAACAGATTAATTTTTATTATAACTAGAAGAGTATTTGCACAATGCAGTGAGATATATATTGATTTTATTGTTTTTTTTTTATTCTTTGTCTATTGATATAATACGGTTTTATATGACTTTGAGAAAATGATAATGTTTTTATTTTTTAGTAAAATATGATTTTGAAGATATTGTAATTAAAATTTTGAAAAAAATATCGATATTAGTATCAAATTAATTATTTAAAATTCTCATTTTTTGTGTAATTTTTTTGATTCAAATTTTTTATCATAATTTAATTTAGGTCTAATAATGAACCAATTTATTTTTAGTTTAATAATATAACTTTTTATATAGATAATAATTAAGTATTCTATTAGTTTAATAATGAATCAATTTATTTTTATTTAATAATATAAATTTTTATAAAGATAATAACTAAATATTATATTACAACTTAACGACTATCCTAATTATATTTTAGATTTTTTAGATTTAAAATGTGATGTTTATCCTGTACTAGTTGTGTACCCGCGCAATGCGGCGGGAGCCGTAAAATTTAGCGATTGTGAAGTTTCATTGGTTTTATTAGAGAATATTTAACGATAATATAAGTTACAATTGGTTTTTACATATTAATACAATTCGAATAAAAAAGAGTTATGGTTCCAGTTACAGTCCATCGATGACAAAAATTGGACAACAATTTAAAATCCAACATATTTAAACGACTCCACAAATGTGTTCGATTTACATCAAGAACAAAGAATCAAGAGATTGAGAACGAGACCGATAAATCTAGAGCAATTGAATGAAAATGAATATGAGAACTTTTAATAACTCATGGTGAATATCAATTTGAATCTTACCTTGGGGGATGAGGAAAATACATAAAGGTATGAGAAGGTGAAGACATAAGTGAAATGTGTCAAAAGTATCTTGGGAACATGAAAAGAAAAGGTAATAATGTGCATTGGTAACTTGTACTATATGTTATTTTAATTGTAGATTAARWGATTTTAAGACTAAATGCATAAAGTAGTAGTACTTAATGAATTATGAGTTGTTTTTAAGACTTTGTGCATAAATATATAGTATTTTGTGCATTAAAATGGTTTATAAGATATTATAGATATGATTATATTTATCTGTAGTTAGTTACACAAATTCAAAAATGGAGGTTTAATAAATTGTACTTATGCATAATTAAACAATATTTCATGTATAAAAAATAATTTTTTAAAATTTTATTAAATGCTTTATAATATAGCATATGTATTAAAGAATTTTTTGAGTTTTATTTATTCAATCTTTTTTTTACCGTGTCTCCTTCATCTTGCTTTTCACCCTACAATTTCACCAAATTTCTTGAATCTCTTTCCTCAAACCGATTCCCCGCCGCCGGCGAGGCTCTTTTTTTTTCTTTCCCGATCGTTCATATCTCACTTACTTTCGAGGTGCTTGGATCAACCTAACAGTATACGAGTTTATGCCATGGAAGATGGGGGAGTTTCTACAGAGCTGTTTTCTTTTCACAAACCTCGAAAACGTAAGATCCCATGGCGCTGATCTTGCCCTGATTGTTGGAATCGGTGGACTCGGAATTGTTTTTCAAATTATAATCAGGTAAAACTAATTCCTTCCATCTATTTTTCAATTATAGTTCACATTCACAGTTAGGGTTTATGTTGCATGCAACTCCATATTATTGTTTTATTTTTTACTCAAATTAGACTGATATTTGTGGGATTTATTACGAGTCATTACTAAAACACAACATTTTATTCTCGTATCTGAACTTTTACTTGTTAAATATTCTAGGGTTTTTAAAATTGGGTTTTTTAATTAATATATTTGTGCATATGGGGGTTGATTTCATATAGTTGCATATGGATATGTAGATTCACACTTGGTTATATGTATATGGTTGGAGGTCCTGGTTCAAATCTAAGAAAGAACAGAAATCCCTTTGTGCCACGGAGGTTCAAATACGGTGACTCCGAGCTACCTGCAAAGTAGGTGATTGCCCTGAAAATAGTTGGCTCGCATAGCGGGTTGGATATTCAGGTTAATAAAAAAAGTGGGTTCTTTTTATATGGATCTATACATATAGATTAGGAATAATTGTTATAACCACCACATTGAAGTGGTATACATTTGATTTCACCATTTCTAAAAGAATTTGCCAAAATGACATATTTTTTAGTACAACTTGTGAAAAATATTATTTTACAAGCTATAAGGATGATGTCCCCATTAGCTATATAAGCCTTTTTCAAACAATGACCGCGCTCTCTCTTTCTAAAACGCGAGTCTTTCTCAGACGAATAGGCTCGTATCATTTTTGGACTTGATCATAATGGCAAACGTGGTAAGCTATCGATTTTCACTAGTTCTGTATCGATGAAGCATAGATTACACATGTTACGACCAAATTAAAGGGATTTTTCTTAATTTGCGAGTTTGGTAAGATCTATTTAAGCGTGTAGTTTGTAGCTTGCACAACCCTAATTTCTTACTTTGCAAGCTACAGTTTTTTGCTTTAAATACAATATATTTGCGTTCGTTTGATGCATAATCCGTGTTGCTTGTTTTGTTTGGAAGATATAATAGTTCTAGCTCGCAAAACATGAAATCCTCATTCATATTTGCGAGTTACACGAATTATTTACGTATGTTAGCTATTTGTTGTGATGAGACATGTTTTGGACAAAAATAAATTGCATCTCCTTTAAAATTGAAAACAACTCACAAATTAAGTAACTCACTCTTATTTTGCGAGATCTGTTCATTTTTTGATCATTAATGACGTTGGCCTTTTAGCACATCTCCAATTGAGGTTCTGAAGTTCTTTAAGACACCATGTCTTGCCATTAAGTTAGAAGAGTTGCAGCTTCTTTGGACATTAAAGTTCTTAGAAGAGGCTTAAGATAAGTGCTTTGTGTTCATTAAATGTTCAGGTTATACTCACACGTGCGCGCACACACACACACATACACGTGTATACTGACACACAAAAGAACATGTGTTGTCCCACATTACTCTCCACATTCCGCTCTCAATGAATCTCCTGGTGTCTCAATTACCGGCAATTCACGAGAGATAAAATGGATTCTCTGGTTCTCTCAATGGATCTCTCCGACTCTCAATTTTTTGGTGAAATCGGCCCCTTAGATTATAAAGTTTGTTTCTCGACCTTGATATGACCAAAGCTGGACAAAGTAGAAACTTTGATACCCTTGGTTCAATCTAGCAACTGTGTCAGTTGGGTGAGTCCGAGCTGGGTTGAGTTCAGTCTGTCAAGGTCCATTATCCATCCTTCCTTGTGACATCCCGTGGAATAATTATCTTGGTCGTTTCTAAGATCCATAAAAACTTTCATAGCTATATGTAAAACATATGTTGTCATTTCAATACATCATAAACACCTTGCTATATAAACATGTCATCATTTTTATGCAAGACAAACATGCCAAAGCATCTTTCCAAACTCTTCATAATGCATAAAACATTTTATATAACACACATGTATCTCAGTAACTCGCATAATAATACTCACTTGGTTAGCTTAACCACGACTTGCTTACTTACCTTGCACACCCTGTTCAGGACTTGTATGTATCTCGACTTCTTAACCTTCAATTACCATCACTTAGCTCTTTAATTTCCTTTCTGCTTTCGTTGATGGGTAAAAAGGTTCAGGGACTCACTATTTACAACGAGGTAAAAGTTCATTGTAAGCCACCTGTAAGTTACGTCTGCTAATTGTAAGCTACTTGTGAGCTATATGGCTGCTAGGTGTGTGCTAACTGTAAGTTGTTTCTTTATTATACTAAAATACTGAAATTGGGGTGTTACGATTTAACTCTCTTTTCCGCGATTTTCCATTCAACGAAGAACTCTGGCCTTTTGATCTGTAATTGCATTCGGTTCCGAACCACTTTTAGAACAAACTTTGGTAGTCCAAGAATCAATGAACTTCCTATCTTACATAACTGAATTATTTTGCAAGATGGAAGTAAACACCTATCTTGATCTCTCATTAAGTAACGAGAGACAAAAAATTACCCGTCTTTCGAACAGAAAAGCTGAAATTTCTTCTGTACCAATGACACGAGTTTCTTAAGGTAGTGTTTGGTACGTAGACTGGAGTCAATGGACAGGACGGGACGTGACAAGACAGGACTAATTGTCTGTCCTATGTTTGGTACGATTAGGACAGGACAAGACAAAACTATTAAAATGATCATATTACCCCTAAATGTTGTTCAATGTTATTTTATATCATATAAGATTGTAAAATAACAACAAATCAACCAAAATATTGTCGTTTTAACTTTAGTCCTATGTTGTTCCACCTTTTTTGGTGGAACAAGAAATATCAAGATTTGTCCCATTATAATTAAAAATAGTACCCCCTTGTCCCATGTTTTTGTCCATGGCATGCCAAACATGGGACTATTTTTTTTGTCCCGTCCTGTCCCATGTAGTCTGCATACCAAACGCACCCTAAGGGCACAACATGGAAGGTTACTAATAACAAACTATATTGTTAATACAATCTTTCCAAACTGTGTTTCTTCTACTGCATAACAAATGCAGTGTTTCTTTGTGCTTGTAACCCTTTTGATTCAATTCTTGAGGTTTAATTGGCATCCTAAGGATGACTTTTTTGGGTTAAAGTTAATGTGCATGTCTTACTCATATATATATATATATACTGCCTAATATTTTTAATATATATATATATATATATATATTTTAAATAGATTCTGATTAGTGTAACAAACTTGTAGAAATGAACACCCCATATAATGTTGATGAGTTTTCATCGTTAAACGAAGTACATGCACTATGGAGCTTGACAAGAGTTCGTGGACTTCGTTTGGGAACAAAGACTACTCATTTCTCTAACACGTGAGTTAAAAATATTCACATTTTAATTGCACGGTAAAAAAAATTAAAGCTATTTAACATTTATTTTATTATATTTTACAGGAGAAAAATGGTAGCAATTGTTCATCATATCCCTTTAATTCAAATATACAACCAAATGAACTTGGTGGGAGGCGTTTTCTCTTTGAATTGTTTCGGAATAGAATATAGTCACGGTGATGTGAGGAACGAAGGTTATATGCTCACCTTCAATGAATTTTACATCCTAATTTGCCGAAACACAACCTTCATACCGTTGTTGGGGGATGTCGAAAATGGCTTTCCGTTCTATCCGTTGGTGCCTTCCATAAGAACTGACCGGCCGGATACAATTGACCTCACCATTTGTCGCAACTCACCGACTTCAACCTTCATAAGAAAGAGCTCGGATTTGGTTGAAGCAATCTTGGACTCTGTTGAAGCAAGTCGATTAGACATCTCGGTGTGGCTCAATCGACCTGACGCACCGGTGCTATGTCGCGAACTCGTAGAATCGCTCCTAGTGCTTGAGACCCTAGACCATCCCTGAATATATGCAGGTCTTTTACCCAAGACTTGTTGCATAATCTCTAGATCACCCGGAGGATTTTCTGTTGATTTAGTTTGCCGCTTAATCTCTACCATGTTCTCCTATGGACATAAAACTCATATATATAAATCTTAGTGATTTATAAAACGATGAAGACATGCAAAAGAGTTCGTTAAACGTAACTTACATATGAAGTGCGAGAATAGTTATTAACCCAACCCTCTTTTTTTCTATAATGCAACTTTCGAAAAGTCTCTATCTCACCGATAAGTGGATTGTCGGACAATCCTCAATTTCGAAAATGGTGATTTGGAGTGCTCACTGTACCGTTCAAACCAGAACAATCAAAACGAATTGCTTACCTCCTGTGAGGTATGATAACTTCTTTTGATAGTTTTGATGAAGCACAAGACGATAAGAACAGTTTCTATCCGATGGAATTTTTAAACTCACTGACTGGTCCGTGGCAAGGAAGAACCTCAGGAAGCACACGACTTGGTGTTCTAGCGCTTTCGGGTTGGTATACCAATTTTAATGTAATTATATATATACAAGATTATTGTTTTTACATTTATACATTTATTGTGTATGTAGGCTAAGTTCTAATGGAAACAGAGCTGGATGTCATGGTTAATGATTTATAGACCAAAGCCATGCACAATAGATACTCAGATTGGATGAGCGTTGCACGTGACTTGGCCGTGGCACAGGCCTATCCTGGTGCTCAGCAATAGGACGATAAGGACTTCTCACGGATTAGATTACATTGTCCTGTATGGATCCCAAAGAGGTTTTGGCTTCAAATGATTGACCAGGTATGTATCTCTATTGTGAGTTTTTTGAACCGCCATGTGTTTTGTATCGTCTTATATAAGTGTTATGTTTTTAATAGGTTTGGGATACCGAGCCTTGGAAAAGGAAATCCATGATCAATAAGGTTAATCGGAACACACAGTTTGAAGGGGTGTCATCCAGACACACCGGGGGATCGATCAGTATTGCACAACATCGAGACAGGATGGTAAGTATATAATCTTTTTTGAAAATGTAATTCGTTCTTTATGTTTACTAACAACTTAACCTAATTGTCTAATGTAGGCAAAAGTAATGGGTCGTGAGCCGACTGCTACTGAGGTGTTTGAGCGCACTCACTGCACGAACCAGAAGTTCGATCAAGATTCGTCTGACCCGCCTACCGATCCTCCTCGGTTCAGTTACCCSAAAGCTGCTAGGTATCATGTAAGTTTTCTAAAACCATTACTTTGGTTAATAGATACGTTTGGTAGGTTTAAGGTAATATATTTTAGTAAACATAGTGATGCTATTAGTTTGGGCTACCATTGTTGGGCAGACGTTAGGCTAAGTAGATAGGTTGAGAATGTGACTATCATTGTTATTATTAGAATGCTTTAATTGTTAAAAACAAGCATTGGTTATGTTTGACTTACTGTCGTTATACTGCTGAAATTTTTACATATATAACCTCACCCGTTTTTGTTTTGGTGAACCATAGGAGCGATTTCAATCGCTTAGGGGTAAGTCCCAGTCTAGTGCCGACAACCCTCCCCCTGATGAGGCATCTCTTTGGGAGCAGAGTGTTGAAGGGCGGAGGAAAGACCGCTTGAACTCGACTCAACATATTAAGAGTCGAGTTAAGATACCCAAAACTCGACTCAAAAAGCTTGTGAGATACTCGATTATTTATATATAATTAGTTTTAAAATATAATCAGTTTTAAAATATAATCAGTTTTTATGATAAAATTTGTAAAATATAAATAATAAAAGTGTCTTATATTTTTAGATATTTAAACAAAATTATGCATTTTTTAATTATAAAAATTAATCAATTATTTTTTTTTATTAAAATGACAATTAAAAAAGACAAAGAAAAACTATAACAAGGGTTGGTGAAATTGTTGCATATTGGAAAAAAGATGGTAAAAGAAGGGAGAAAATATGTCATAAAAAGAAAGGGAGATAAATGAAATTTCTAACTTTGTCTTTTTTATGATTAAGTTTGAAGTTGATCCCTTTAGTTTTATAAAAACTAAGAACACCTTTAAATTTTAAAATTTATAAGAGAAAGACCATAAAATTTCATAAATTTCAATGGGTGAGCTTGTTTCCAGCTTGATTCTAGTTTGAGTTCGAATTCAAGCTTGATTTGAGTTGTAGTTCAAGCTTGTTTTGAGCTTGATTCGAGTTCGAGTTCGAGTTCGAGTTCGAGTTTGAGCTTGAGAAATAGTTATTGAGTTCGAGTTGAGCTTTGATTTTTACTACTCGTGAGTTTTCAAGTCCAGTTCGAGCTTGAAAATTGGTTTTGAGTTCAAGTCGAATATGGTGATATTCGTGCTCAACTCGCATCATTTACACCCCAACTTAAAGGTTGAAATATTATTCTGGGTTAACCCTCAACTCATAATAACAAATGGTGTTAAGAGAGATTCTTTTGGTTTTTCATCATGTATTGATAAAGTTGTTCTTATAGATTAATCTGTTTGTATAAATTAAGAATTATTTGACAGTGTTTTCTAGTAGATGGAATGAACGTGTTTTCTAATTAGGAGGACAAGTTTGGGGAAAAAAACTTGATTTTCCATATAAAGTTTTTCTCTTAAAAACTTACTGAATAAACCATTTTTTAAGTATAAAAACCATTTCAAACAGTTTTTTTTTTGTATTTTGAAAACAAGTATTATGTATTAAATATAGTTATAAAATTAATAAATAAGATTATTTATAATAATTTTGAAAAATTATTGTTGATTAATTTGCATAAACCATGGACTTTTACTGTAATTGAAAAAAAAAACATATTGTTGATTAATTAATATATATAATTTTATAATTATAATTTTTAATTTTTCTACTTTGTTGTTGTGATTTTTAGTTATTAGAATGATATTTGCGTAATGCAGCGAGATAAAAAATTTCTGTGTGTCCACAATCACTGATCAATCTTCATATTAAGCTTCCTTCAATGGCAGATTCATAGATTTATCATTCAAGAACACTATCAACACTTTATGAATATTGAGAGAGAAAGTCAATCCTCTCAATTCAGTCAAACCTCTATTATCAATCTGAATATTACAATTAGCTCACCTACCCCTACTAATTACAAAGCTTAAACCATATTTATATGGTCAACCTAACTAACAAAGTCAAAGTCAAACTAGTCTAAGAAAGTCAAACACGCTGACTTTTACAATTATAGACTAAAGTTAATCTTTCAAGACGAATACAATTAATACTGATTTCTCAGTCCTAACATTCTCCCCCTTTGTATTCA